TTGCACACCGTCAGACTCTACTCACTGAAGAAACAACATGCAACACCAAGTAGAAACTCCATCGCCTACCAATCTACCGCACATCCTCCCCACCTTAACTTCTGCTACTCCTCCAGCCCACACCCACCAAGGGGAAAACGCCCTTCTGCAGCATCGCCCCGGCTCCTCAGCCCCCAGCAGGTACTGTCGTGTGCCTGAGCCGCTTGTGGGGCAATACAGCCTCACCACACTTCAACACCTTCCCTCCCTCGGACAGTGCTCTTGTGTTTTCGTGGATCAGTCTCAAACAGTTATATATGGAGCAGCTTTCTCCCACAGCGGAGAAGGATTCACTTCCCACTGATGTCGTCTTAACGTGTCTATCAAGTTCTAAGATAGAGTCTTCTTGATTTTTACTACCATCTTATCTGACAACTGCTGTCTTGGCCAACAACAGATCAAAGCTAGGACCTCCAGAGCTAAAAGCTGTGAGCTCTGCTGCACAGGCTAATCCTCTGTGGATAAGAGCACAGGAGGAACCACTCAGAGGAGAGGAGTCAGATACACCTGTAAGTCGCTGTGATCTGGATCTCAGCAAGACAAGCCGTGTAGCCAGCTCCTACACCTCGCAGCATGGAGCACACACGCTCCACACGCCTTTCTTCATTGTACCAGCTCCCAAAACGCAGCGCTGCTTTGCCAGCAGGAACACGGACCTACAAGAGATGAGCTCCTCTCCCAACCCACCGCACATGTTTTCCATCCTCTCCGCAAGCCCCGCACGCGTGGTGCAACCCTTGCTGCCATCTGCTGCCAGCCTCCACGGATGCACTGCAGCTCCTGGAGTGCGAGAGCCCCCCGCACACATGGGCCCGGCGTGAATTACTGTGTTCTGCAAATTAACGACAGAGCAAGGGCAATTAAAAAGGAAGAAAGCCAGGGTAATGCATCATAAAAGGGGCTTTATTCTTTTATTTTGTCAATTGCAATTTAGATTTAATTATTTATGGTAATACTTCAGAGTGTGCTAGTAACCGTTCTATAACGCGATTTATAAAAGGAAGGAAACCTAAGTAATAAGTAATGTTCACTATTGCATCTGCTATTAAATCTTTGCTGGGGCGGAGAGCCACACACCAGCCTTCTGTGTATGCAAAGTACCAATTAGCAAAGCACTATTGTAAAACGCAAAGGTTTAATCAATGGGAAAAATCCACTTGAAAACAGCAAGCGTGCTGATTTCAGTTATAAAAATTACCACATTTCTATACAGTAAGTGGCTTTTCATCTGCAACTGAGGAGCACTTAAAGTGGACACGTTGTTCCTTCGGGTAGCAGAGGAGGGCACGAGTACCTGACCACTGCCCTGAGCCCCAGTCTGGTGCAGCCACACTCTGCACAGCGCAGGCGGGAAGACATCCTGCTCTGCTACAACCGGCGAGATGAGACTCATCTTGCGTACGCACAAAATGAGATGGTTTTAAGGTGCTCACTGCAGAGATTTTATGACTCGGGCTGGGGGCATGACTGGGAAACAGCAAGGCTTGGTCCTGTGCCCAGGTATAGCAGCAATTTGGGAAACCATTCCCCTCCCCGGACCCATATCCAGACTTCATCTGTCTGTCTGCGCTGTCTGGTTTTCCACAAGCTTTAAGGGGCACGAGACCTGCCTCTTTGGCAGGGCACAGCTTTGGGAAAGGCCTCCCCTAACTCACTGCAGTAACACCATTGATGTTACTCATACAACCAGCTCAATCCTCAACAAAATGATAATACGTTCCATTTAATGAGAGCCCACTGAAAATAATCATGGAGTTAGCAATTTCCAGCTCTATGGCTGCCCTTGACCATGCAGAAGAAACAGAGGAAGTGTCCATATGCAACCAAAGAAAAAGAGAAGAAACAGATCTGCTTTATACCTTTCAATTATTATCCTCTTCAGCTTCCCAAGGAAGAACAGCAGGCTGAAAGCAGTGTGGTGCTTTGGTTTTTTAATTTAAATAGCAGTTTCCTTTAAATAGAATGTTCCTGCCATAGAAAGATTTAAATCACTGACTGAGATCAATTAGCCTAGGAAACAAGGGAAGTATTTTAATGGTCCTGTGATTGCAGAGGCCACAGCTCCTCCAGCACTGCACTGGAAGAGGAGGCAAGTTCAAGCTTTCAAGCCCCACGCTTTGCTGCAAGGGGAGCCGTTCCCCTGCGAAGCCGGGAAGACGGTGCCCTCGAAAAGCCGACGTCCTTGGGGTTTCCTACCTGCCACGTGGGCTTCCCACCACGGCAGGGGCACCACCCCAGCACTGCCTGGCATCGCTCGCCCTGGGGGCTGCAAGGCTTTGGCAGCCCCTCCGGTGAATTAGGGCAGGAAATCGGGTCAGCGTTGTGGCAAGCGCCAGCCAAATGGATGCCGGCCAAGGGATTACGCGAGAGGCAGTGTGACAGAGCCCAGGGCCATCTGATGGGAGAGGACATTGTCAGAACAGAGTGACAGCTCCTCACACACTCTCCGCCGTTGTGACAGACAAAGCTGTTTGCTGTTTGCATGCCTCAGTGGGGAGCACTGCAGACCAGCTCAGACGCTGCTGCCTCTCCAGGCAGAATTCAGCAGCCCCTCCAAAATCAGGAGCTATCAGCTCACCATCACCACGCAGACAACAACAGCCGCACAGCAATTCAAACAACTGGCCCATAACGGGGAGCAGCCCCAAGGGCAAACACGTCAAGGAGATGCTGGCATGCTCTACAGCTTAGGAGAAGAGACAACACCTGGCCCAACTTCACCTGCACATCAAGCAGGTAAGAGCAGCCCGGCCCCAGATACCCACCCCTGCAACCTGCAAAGTTCCCGTATGTACACCTGTGAGCAGCAAGACTAAAAAAACCACAAAACCTCACAGTTCAGGATCCAAGGACACTGCAGAGCTACAGGAGAGAGAAACTTGGCTGCTAGCGGCAAGGTGTCTGCTGAGCAGTGACAGATTTCAGCGGGGCTTGGGCCACACAACTGGTGCCTTCTGTGCCTGATCAGCACCAGCCCTTCCTCCGGGCACACTTCCACCAAAAGTGCTTTCTAGCAGTCAGATAGCACATGGGATCTCCCAGCTCTGTTGGAATCTCTGAGCAGATCTCACCCCACAGAAGACAGGGACAGACAAGATGCTTGTTTCTTCCTAGGAAAACCAAACTACAGAAAAACTGAAGTCACAGAGCCATCATTTTGAGAAGCCGTGATTCTGCAGAGTGCCCACTCCCAGCAGCGAGCACGCAAGGCTTCTGAACACTTCAGAAAAGAAGGAGACCAGTTTTCACAGGCATTCAAACATCACAATAGATGAATCAGGGCTTTGGTCATATGGAGAGGCACTTGCACACACATGAACTCTCCATCCACACCTGCAAAGCTACACTGCTTACTTTGAAAACAAGAGGACAAAGCGATTTGGCCAGGAGTGTTACAGCAAACCAGTGGTGGGAATGGGACCCTGGAGCCCCAACACTGGATTTTCCACCATAAGCCTTCCCTCCTCTCCTGACTACTGCACAAAGAGGCAGGGATGGAGATTTATGCTTCCAGTCTCCTGCTTTTGCAGGAGCCAATGCAGGTAGCAGCTTACCTACCACCAGTGTCCACTTTCACAAGCCAACAAGGCCACCCTGAGCCCAGGTGGAACGCAGCAGCTAGCTCCAACCACCTACCCTGGGCGCTCATAAAGAACTTACCAGAGCATCGGCTGCAACATCCAAGCAGGACCCTGGACAAGCAGGACCCTGCATAAATACTTGGGCAAAAAGCTCGTGCCGGGTTCCTTGCTGCCAAAAACTACACTGCTCCTGCTACTCAAGACAGGCAGCTTAAACGGAAGCTTGGGTATGTCTTTATGAACACCAGTCGCACCGTTTGAGGTACAGACTGACCGACAGCTACACACCAAAAAAGTGGCCCCACAAGGAACCTCCCAGAGCTCAGCTCAATTCCTGGGCTTATTAAATGAAAAGAAGAACAAAAGGGAACATTATCTTTCTGCACATTAATGTTTCTCCCTGCAAATAGGGCCTAAGCATGAACCGAACAAAACTCAGGAGTGAGACAAGGGCAAATCCATCCCCACTCGCCTACTGCAGAGAAGAGAGAATGCACTGTTCAAAAAAAAAAATCTCCCAGCAACGAAAGGTCGAGGATCCATTCAATCCCCGGTGACTGCGTCATCTTAATAAACCCTGATAACGAAGCGATTACGTTAAAAGCTGTCAAGGGCTACGCTGACCAGAGCAGCCCTCTCACCAGCTTCAAGCGGCTTTGCTGGGAAGGAAAAAAAAAAGTCATAATTCTATCAGCTTGGAAGATTCTATTCCCCACTGATCCCGAGTGATCAGCCTTCATGTCGAAGGAACATTACATTCAAGCCACTGAAGATTTTCACTTTTTTTCTTCTTCCCCTTTTCATTTTTTAAAGCAAGAATTGAAAGGGAGCAAAGATAAAAACTGTGTTAAACTGGAACTGGTTCACTCAGGGGAAGAAGAAACATAATACTCTTTCTTCGGATGCTGTTTTGAATCCAGCCCCAGCGAGTAACAGGACAACGGTCACCAGTGTCTGACAGATGCCTGAAAGGCAAGAGCAGGAGAGGACAATACGGGCGAGCTGGGTGGAGATGGGGCTGGGAGAAGGGGGAGGAAGGCTCCAGCAAGAGCTGTCAGGCAGTTCCCTCCCCTTCTCTTCAGCTCTTTGCCAGTCTTAGGGGCAACCCGAGATTCAAAGCAGGCTGTGAGGACCTAGCTGCCCTATGATGTCCCTCTAAGGCGGTACTGGGAACAACAGGAAGGCACCGGTGGAAAGCTAAAGATGCTGGAAAACTAAGATGCATGATCTAAGCAATTCCTTAACACTAAAAAGGTGGGGGATACGTTTGCTGGCTCTAAGCACTAAAGCCTGCTCCTGCTGTCCTTCTCCAGGGGAGGTGAAGCATGGGAGGGAAAAAATGGGGAAGGGGGATTGCAGAGGGATTGCAGAGTCACTTACTTTCAGCTACGCAGCCTATCAGCAGCATGGAGAGGAGATTCACAAGGGAGACCAGCGAAGACATCCCAGGGCTGGGAAGGATCCTCATCCTCTGCAACGGCCTTCAGCCCCAGCCGGGAAGGCTGCGGGTCAGCAGGACTCACAGCGTCTCCCCAGCGTCGTCAGCACCTGCGGATGCACAAATGCAAAGGGGAGAGCACTTAGCGAGAGGAAGGCGGGCAGCCGACAACGCCAAGGGAGGGAGAAGCTGAAAGGAGTCTGGAGAGGCAGCGGGGTCTGGGGAAAGCAGCAGCTGTACACAATCCCTGTGGGGAGGCCAGGCAGCCCTTCGCCTTGATGCCACCAAGGACTGGGACAGCTCCATCACCAAGCGGACTGGTGGGGGCACGAGGCCAGCCTGCAGCAGCCTCCCTGCCTCGGCAGGTAATGGCGAATGTCCGTGCACGCACTCACGCAAAGGGCGGGAACAGCGCAAGAAACAGAAGCGTAATCGGAAGGCACCAACTGCGCAGAGCCTGTGTTTAAAGTTTAACGCCCGTCGGCTTCTCTCCCCAACACGGGAGGAAGGCAGCGCTGGCCGAGCAGCACACGAGCAATGAGGTGTGAAGGGATGTGACCCGACAGGGCCCAGGGACCCTCTTAAAGGGCGATTTTTCCACAATGGCGCAGGGCAGGCAAAGAAAAACTGAAACCTCACACATAAAAAACCCAGGAAGAAAGAAAAAAAGACAATCCACAAGAGGGAAGATGAAGCAGGAGATGTCTCCCTGTGTCCCTTGTGTTTGGTGAGGATCCATGCAGTTCGGGGAGGGATTTCTTTCCTGCCCAGGCAGGCTCTGTGCCGCACAGCACTCACCGCAACACAGCTAGCCTGGACCTCAGCCCTGGAAACTGCATAGGTGTCCCAAAGCCCCTCTTACAAGTCAAATGCACGGTGAACCTCCCAGGTTCCTTACCGTGGCTGGGATTACAGCAGCGACTCTGCACGTCTGAGAGTCCCTACCCTGCTCGGTGCCTCAGTTTCCCCACCTGCAACACACAGAGTGATCTGAGCTAACACAAAACTGGAAGAGAAGAAACCTGAAGCAGAGGGTACCACAGCTGATGCTGATGGACCCAAAGGCACAGCAGGCAAACACAACCCCCAAGGGACACGGGAGAGATTTTCTCCTGACCTCTTCTGCCCTGGATGTGGCAGAATGTGGCTGCAGGACAGCACCAGCGTATTAGCATGGCTGTGACAGCGGAGAGGAAGCTCAACACCAGCCTGCTCCCCTCGCCCTGCCAGCACATTTCCATGGAGACAACTCCTGGCTCCAAACGGAGCTGCCTGCTTACAGCTTTATCCTGATCCCTTTGCAAAGCTGGAATGGCATTAAGGGAGCTGTATTCTTAGCAACTACCCCAGTCCCGTGTGTCAATACTGGTCAACGCTTTCTTCAGTGACAGAAGCAAGCTTTGCCCCAGAAGGGTTGAAACTAGAGTGAAAACTGCAGCCACAACCTCCTCGTGGGGTCGGCGGTGAAGAGGTTCCTCCATCAGACAGACTCTGAGCACCAGAATAATGGGCCAGAGCTGTGTGAAGGATGCTCTCAGATCTGTACAGATTCCTTCCTGCTATCAGTTACCCCAATTAAAAATCAAAACCAGGGTTTATCACCTTTTGGAGAAAAGCCAGGTAGGAGATATTGTACGGTGATCAAAGGCTTTAAAAGGACTAAGGGGATAGTGAGGTTGCTTAGCTTTCTGATACACATCAGGGTATGAGACCATCGGGACAGGCAGTGTGAAGGGGCATTTTAATCTTTTTCTGTCCCATTAACTCTCCAAGGCCGAACTGTACAGAATTAAAAGAAAAGCCAGGATAAACAAGAAGTCCCCATATGTACTCGGCCCTAAAGAGCAACTTTTCAGAGAGAAGCTTTGGACTTGCACTTTGAGGATTACAAAGCCTCTGCTGTGTGCTCTGTGCTAGTCTAGATCCATCGTGCTCCAGTGCTGGCTTGTGAAAAAACGAGCATAAATACTGATACTCTCACCAAAAAAAAGAGAAAAAAATCTGGAGTACACCACTGGGAATCTCTTCAAATGTTTGTTCTAGATGCACTTAGAGAAACACACAGAGGCTCCAGCCAGACTTAACAGGGGGTTCACAGGGTTCCAGGGTGCAGAACAACGGGTTGGGGTTGCTTGTGTTGTCGTCAGAGGCGGGCACAGACCGGGAACATTATGAATAGCTGCGATGGTAACTGTTAATTAAACTGGGGATGTGGTACCAACGCCAGCACAACAAAAGGAACCGTGTTGCTGTTCGCTGTCTCTCCCTTCTCCCTGCTTCAGTCATGCAGCTCCTAGTTCCCCCCAGCGAGGGTGGAGGGGGAGAGGGCAGGAGCTGGAGAGAGCTAGCATCCTCCCAACCATTTTAATTCTCTATATTAAAAAAAAAAAACCACCACAGGGCTAACTCAGCTAGCATTTCAGAAACTCTTGTTTTTCTACACCCTTCCCCAGACGCAGTAAATGCCACCAAGCATCTGCTTCAGCCTTGCCTGCTCTCCAAATGCAGCACCAGCGACCTTCCACAGCTCACAGCAGCCAAGAGGCTGCGCTGCCCCATGCAGCACGCCCCCAAAGTCCCCCCGATGCTGGAGCTGAATGCAAGCATGTCAGGGAAATATTCCGCCTCCCCCGAAGAGAGGAGCCTGGCAGCTCCACTCTCCCACATGTAGCACGGCTTTCATGCCATATAATGGGCCCCGATAGAGAAGGTCTTGTCCTGCATCTAGCGCAGCTTTTCATGCCATATAATGGCCTCCGATAGAGAAGGTCTGGTAAAGGGGATATAGCAACAGCTCCAAGATTAGAGAAGGAGATGCCAGAGGGTGACACTTCCGCTCCGGTGCTAATGTGCTTCCCAAGCCCTTGACGGAGACAGAAAGTGCTGGCAGAGATATTAGGACACGTCAACTTCAATCCAGCAACTCATCCCTCAGAGCAGGTACGTCACTGGCTGTCTCCCCCTGGATACGGGATTTTCAGGACAGCAAGATGTGCACCCACCTGGTTCCCCTGCGGGTAGCAAAGAGACACTGGGACGGGGCTTTTGCTCTGCACTCTTGGTTAACACCCTGGAAGTACAGAGCGTGGAAACAAACTCCTACCCACTGCACCATTCCTGCCTACAATGCAGAACGTGCAACATTTGGAAAGCCAGCCACCAGGCTAGAACGCTCTCCTGCCCTCCCGGCGGGGCTGAATTCAAGTGGGAATTGCTTTGAAGAATGCTCAAATCACAAGGGTTTCATCACCCATCCTCTCCCCTCCTCTGCATGTGCAGAGCTTACCTCGTCTATGCTCTTTGAAGCAGGTTCGCATCACTCCTCCCGCCCGTCTGCTGCGCACCCAGCCAAGCTCCTGGCACCATACAAGTAAACATAATGGCAGTTTTCCTGCACAGCTCCACAGACCTGCAAACCCTCACTACATTCTCTGGCACAAGATCCCCTGCAACACAAGCAAACCACCTAATAGACCTCAATCCTTGCTAAAGAATGCAATTAAGTGAAGCCATGGCCCCCAGTGGGGTCAGATTTGTGCTAGATACGGTCACGTTTCAGGAATAAGATTAATTCTTACAGTAAAGGAGCTCCTGTAAGGCATTCATTCTTGTGCACTGCCTGTTCTCTAGCTCTAAGCATGTACATGTGCATCTTGTAAGCACTGAGCACAGGGTCTTGAAGAGTATTATTAGAAATAATACAACTGAGAAGCCTTTCCAAGAAGCAGCCTCCTGCTGTGGCTCCTCCAGCCAGTACTGAGCTAGGGATCTCCGGGGACCCAAGGGTGCTAGGCACAAAGGGTAAAACGCTCAAAAGCACCTACATTTCTTAAGAGCTTAAGTTCCATTGAGAGTCAAAGGGACTTACCCTAAGCCGCTAAGATGCTTTTGAAGATTTTCCTCCCAGTAACTCCCATTTCAGACGGTGCGGGACATCTAACTCGCTTAAGCTACTTTGGGTATCTGAGGGGATATAGGAGGAGGGGGCTTTATCTCCAGACCAGTTTGGCTAGCTTGGTTCCCACTGCTTAAAGAGGGAGCCTGTGGGAAATGCCGCTAAAAACAAGTGTCTGCACAGTTACAGACATTGGGATGGGTCAGAGCTATGTGGGTATTTTGCCATTTGTTACTTTTTCGTGGCCCCCAGGGAGCCGGTGATTGAAACGTTTGCTCTGCATTTAAAAAACTCCAGGAAGGAGGGATCATGCCTTCATTTCAGATTCATTAAAATATAACAACTTGAAAAAAATTCACAAAAACGCATTTGGGCTTCTCTTCTGTTTCACCTGTATGCAAAGAGGGAAAAGAGCGATTTTAAAGAAATTCTTTGCAAAAAGTTCCACGCAGATCTAGCGGATGATTAAACATCTTCATTTTCAGTAGCTGCTGCGGGAGAATTACTCCCATTAGACATATCAATCGAAGCAAACACCTTGCAGGCAGAGGGCTGCACTGAGGTCTCTTTTCCTTCCAGCAGCACCGGCATAGTTTGTGCTGCGTATTAACAAAGGTCAGTGGGTCACTTCATTTCCTCCCAGCAACCTCTTTAAAGAAAGAAAGAAAAGCTTTTAGCACAACCACTGCCTCATTTGTCACCTCCCCTGGGGAGGGGAGAGACAAAATTTAAATTTGCCACCCCACATTTCTATCTTGCTCCTATCTAAGACCCTGCCCTCGGCAAACCCAACCCCGCCAGGGCTGGGACGGGGACGCCAGTGCTGGCGGCTTGTGCAATGCGGGCAGCTGCCTGCTGCGATCTGGCCCAGGACCCCACCAGGGGACCGTCCCCGTGTGTGCCGGGGAGCAAGGAGATGCCAACATGCAATGCTGTCCCTGGAAGCCCACGTGGCCCATGTCTCCACACTCAGGTTGCTTTGCTGGCAAGTATTAGCCTCTTTTCCTGGGGAAACAGAGCATGAAGACATGAGCTTCAAAGTGAGTGTTTCTAATGCTCATTTCCCCCTCCTCTCCCACTAACATGCTGACCATCTAAGCCCTATTTAATAGCGGGGGGAGAGACCGCAGCCATCGTAGTTGCCTATCAGGCACTTGAAAGCGAGTGTCGGGGCACAGGGAGATGCTGCTGATGCCTCTGCTTGAAAAGCAGCCACTC